ACAGAGCCTCGAATTATAGGCGGAAGTAACGAATTTATGAAAATAAGTAAATAAATTTGCCGCCGTTTCTCACGAGGCGCTGTGTATTTACCCGAAGAGTAACGGAGGAATTGTGAACAGACGAGGTATTTTACCTATTTTTCCGCCGTGGTGAATTATACATATAGTCGGGGCCACGATATAGCGAGGTCGTAAAATCGGTCAGACGCCAAAGTAAACATGTTTTAGCTGCCGGGACCCGAAAATTGACAGAGATACGAGCAGATAAGTACTTGAAACCATGGTCAGGACCGTACAAAGAATTCTTCTATCCAGCGAAAGTCAAACTGATTCTAATATATTTACTGAAAATTGAGTTCAGCTAGGACAATTTAGGGTTTTTTTCTTCTGGGAAAAGCCGCATTTGGAAGTACGGTTACAAGATGCAGATAGAAAATGCAAAAGGATTGTGTAGCTTTAATATTAACATATTTTCCATTTGTAAATGAAATACCATTTTCTACTTGAAGTACCAAATCATATGCTACCATTCGTTTATTGTTGGAACCCTCAAACAGACTGCAACACACGGCCTTGAGTGCCGCAACATCAATCGATGCCGATTCTTGAGAGTTTAATTTACGACCTCGCTATATCGTGGCCCCAACTATACGATTCACGAGGTAGGGACAATTTGGGAAACTTGAAACTTTGCTGAAAATGTGGATCAAGTGTCACTTACAACGAAACCATTTTTTTTTTAACGATGAAAGAGTTGTAGGAGTGAAAGCTCTCTCTCTCTCGGAAATACTACGAGCTTTTGTATTTATGAAACTGTACAGGATAAGGGGAAAAGAGGTGAATTCAAATTTGCGTGGTTTTTGATGTCCTAGATTGCGGTGAAGAATTTTCGAAAAATATTTTCTTAGGAATTTGCACCCTTAATTTTCATCCCTACGAGGTCTCACACTGTGGAAATAAAGTATGGTTTTCCCATTAGCGTCACTCGAACCACATTTCAAATTTTTTTGAAATTTTGGGTTACCGAATTTCCCTTGCAAATGTGGTTCATTAAAATGTACCGAATAACAATCCTAATTTCTGTGAACATTTGTACGTACTGAAAATAAATTCTCTGAAAGTTAACATTATAGTGAAGCTTCGTACTTGAAATCTGTAGGGTGTAAATTTAAACATATTGAATTTACACTTGTCTCATAAAATATTTTTAATTAAACACCATAAGAGAGAAAGTGATTGTGTAAGTACTTAGAACATCGTGCACACATAATGTACGAAGTGTAGGTTCACGAATGTGACGAGATTAAAGCACATCTTGCGAATGAAAGTAAATGTGAAAAAAGAAAGGAAGAAAATCGAGGGAGACA